GACGTACATGTGGACATATAAATATGTAAGATAATGTTTTATTGTAAAAGCTGCATATACACAATTATTTATTGAGTTTGTACATTAGAAATCTTTAGTTACATCCTAAAAATGCCTAAATCACATAAGTCTTATACTATGTACGTACACAAAAATATTTATTGGAGCGTACATGGTACAACATTAATTTAATTTTTTGACATCAAAATTAAGTTATTATGTCAGTTATTTGTATGACTGTATTTTTTTCATATGTTGTTCATACATGATTTGAATGTTTTGTTTTTATAGTCAAAAAATATTTGAAACGTAAATATACAAATTATTTAGATATTTACGTACATATATACACACACATTACTACCGTGTACGTACACATTATTACCGTGTACGTATATATTATTACCGTTACGCACATATATGTATATGATATTGCTAATCGTGAATAGTCTTCGATAATAATAAATAAAATATTATTTAAAATAGAAATAAAAATATGAAAATGGGTCTGATAGAAAAAAAAGAATTTTAACTAAAAATATAAAAACAATAAATATTTATAAAATGGAAAAGCGAATCATCTACTGACAAGTGTTTAAGATTTTCAAACCACACACGGCTCTGTGTCATGTTAAAACATACTATTCCTCAATGTTTTTCTTTAGTTGTGAGGTTTGTTTCTACTGCTTCTCGTATTTGACATATGATTATGTAAATTGCGTAACAGAGCTGGAGTTTTGTGAGTCTCATTAGAGTCAATTTGTGTGTTGATCATAGTTGATTTCAATTATTTACTGAAAACAAATTATTAATATTTTTTTAATTGAGTTCGTAGAAAACTTGTATGAAATTGGTAAGATATTTTTGGTAGAAATATGTCCTTATTTGAGTTTTTTCTATTTACGTGTATGTAGTTTACGGTATACACAGTATTGATTATAAAATGGATATGTACTTCAGTTATATCATGTACTATTGTGGAGACGGTGTACGTAATATTTATAGAGTTTGTATTTTAGTTTTTCGACTTCAAAATACGCTAATATAAACTAGATTTACAAAATCAATAAATAAATTAAATGTAAAAAAACAAAAGATTATAAGAAAATTGTGAACAGTCAATCGCATAACTGAACCGCATAACTGAACCGTGTACAGTGTACGTAACTGAACCGTACAGTGAACAGTACATCGCATAACTGAACTGCATAACTAAACCGGAACAGTGTACATAACTGAACCGCATAACAGAACCGTACAGTGAACAGTACATCGGTACGCTGGCAGGGGTAAAATGGTCAGATTTTGGCTAAATTGTCAAAACTTGAAAGTCAATTCTCACTTTGCCAAAACATGAAATTAAAACTTGGTCTTATGCCAAAACATGCAATTTACCCTAAAAAGAAAGTTCAAATAAAAGAACACTCTTTAAAAGTTCTCTAAGTCTCTCCAAAAGTCTTTCAAGTAGTCTCTAATTGTTCTTCCAAATTTTCTATCATACTTAGAGGGTTTCTTATCTTGATTATATCGAGTTTCTCGGGTATCACGGTCTTGGGCTAGTGCTAAGCACTATCGAGTCGGTTTCTTTACATGCGATTCCCGTTGGTTGTTTGAATCCGTGACTTGCTTTGTGACCGCATAAGGCCTGATACGACTGAAATTTTTTAGCTGATCGGACGGTTTAAGTTTGTGATTATTGGTTGCAGTACATACAAAATGTGGTTTAAGTTTTCTAGCTGATCGGACGGTTAGGGTATGTATCAATGTATGCGGAATATGATAAAATATTTTATATTTTACATTCTTTAATCAAGAGAGAGAGTACATTATAAGTGGGTTATTAATTGGTAAATGTGGTTTCCTATAAAAAAAAAAAAAAACATTTGTTATAACACGAATTTACAATGTGTTTTTCTTTTTTTTTTTAATTCTTATGATCTTATGTTTGATAGATTTGAGCAAAAAAAACCAGACTCGAAACCCGTTATTACTGTTTTAAAGATTTTTTTTCGGCTACCCATTATTTTGGGTACAAAATACCTGAAAAATGGGTAATATCCAAACCGATGGAATACCCATTTTTCGGGTATTTATAGTATCCTGAAATTTGTACCCTAACCCGACAGTAGGCCTGGGCGTTCGGGTATTCGGGTCGGGTTCGGGTCGGGTAATTCGGGTTCGGGTATACCCAAAATATCCAAAAATAAAAAATTGCATACGAAACTTTTCAAACTACACGAAATATCTAAATTATACAAAGATATGAATACTTTGTACTTGAATATACTTAGAAATAGCTAAAATATGCAAAAATATTCCAAATTCCAATATTTTAGACACTTATATTATTACAAATATATATATTACTAATATATTATTACTATGTATTTATATTTCGGATATGTTCGGGTACTTGTTCGGGTTCGGGTCGGGTTCAGGTTCGGGTTTTCGGGTTTTGAAGTTGTGGACCTTCTCTACCATTTTGCGTTGTCGAGAAACCAATCAACCTTTGATTGGTGGGCGCCTTTGATTGGTTTCTCTGACAACTGCAAATGGTAGAGAAGGCAAGAGAGAATCAAGTATATTAGATAGGGTTTCCAAGTTTGTGTTAGAGAATTATATAAAGACAAGAAAGAATTGTAATCTAGTACTAGATTGTTACCCGCGGTACACCGCGGGTTAATTATTTGTTTTTTTTTGTTTTTTTTTATAAACTGATGAATTTGTTGTATATAATATTTTTTGTTGTACATTGCGAGTCACATGCGTTGTAACTAAAAATGAAAATTTTAAGTTGTATTTGTTTTGTTTAGTGTTTAAAATTGTATAATTGTATTTTGATTTGTTAATCCCAGGATTTCACCCGTGATATATTATCCCGTATTAATATCAATCCAAATCCGACCCGTCCCACCATATAATCATGTCCCATAAAATTAAACATCATTTTGTTATTTCTTTTAATAATACTTTTATTTAAAAGACATATAATTCGAGTCAATTTAAAAGTTTGCTTTCAAATAGTTTCTATAATATATATATATATATATATATATATATATATTTTTTTCAAATTAGTGTGTGTTTTTAGACCAACCCGTAAAAATATTTTAAAAATGTATATTAAAATACTAAATAATTGTATTTCGATTTGTTAATTTTAAGATTTCACCGTGGTATATTGTCCCGTTTTAGATAATTGTAGAAATTAAGAAAATATCTAAATGACTCAATTCCGGGTCAGAGTAAAAAAAAAATACGACCTGATTAAACGCGCAAATTTGTTTTTCAAAAATGTTAATATAGATTGTACACATACTTTTTTCTTCATCGATTGAGTAATATATGTCCGTTTTAAAAAATTTGAATCATAGCATATGCAGAAAAAAATCGAATTTTTTTATTAAGTATATATATTTTATAATAGTTCAAAATAATATAAATATAAGATCATATAAAAGTGATGAGAATCATATATTTATGTTTTAATTAGGTAGAGAGGTTTTAGGAAATTAATTCAAATTTGTTATATTAGCATTAAATAATCATATTTGATTTCTATATCTATAAAAACTGTAGAGAATATGCCATAAATAAAGAGTTTAGGTATAGTAATTAGTTGAGAAAATCTATATTTTTTAGATTTTATTGATTAATTTTCGTTTTTTAGTTTTGTCAAAAATAAGGAAAGATCCGATTGAAGATTTCCGGGTCAAAATTAAATAAAATTTGACCCCATTAAGAACCCCAAAAGGTGTTGCAAAAATGTATAGTAGATTAAGACGAGAGAGTTGAGGAAAAAACTCAAACGACCAAAAAAAAAAAAAACAGAAAAACTCCTAAGTCTCTGAAGTGTTTAAATTCTGTTTCCGGTTACCCATTCGGATATCGGATAAAATCCGAAATCGAACCAATACCCACATATAATGACCAAAACCAAACTGAACCGACTTTTTCGGATCGGTTCATGTTTGAATATTCCGGTTTTGTTTTTTACAACAAGTCCAACAATTTCATAAGCTCACACCATATTGGCGATAAATGCTCTGGGCTTTTTCTCAATTTCTCTGTTCTAAGAATCGAACAAGAATTAAGAAAAAAAAAAAAAATAGTTTTAAAGATTCGTTTGAGTATAGCTCTCGAAGCGATGAATTCTCCATTTTCTTTTACCGAAATTGAGCCGAAAGAGGATTTGATGAGCGACCCCGTTTTCATGGAGCCGTGGCTTGAATACAAACGTCAGCGTCCTCACAGCCCTTCTTCTTCGTCACCACCGCAGCTTGAAGATCTTACGGAGGAAGAGTATCTCGCTCTCTGTCTCGTAATGCTCGCCAAAGATCAGCGGTCGCAAACGCGATTTCAACAGTCGCAGCCCCAAACGCCTCACCGAGAATCAAAGAAGCTTTCGTACAAGTGTCGGGTTTGCCGAAAAAAATTTCAGTCGTATCAGGCCTTATGCGGTCACAAAGCAAGTCACGGATTCAAACAACCAACGGGAATCGCAAACGCCGATGATTCATCAACAGCTCCGACCGTCTCCGCCGTGGCCGGAGAAAAACATCCAATTTCCGCCTCCGGCATGATCCACGAGTGTTCCATCTGTCATAAAGTGTTCCAGACGGGTCAAGCTCTCGGCGGTCACAAATCTACTCACCGAAACAAACCACCAACGAAAGTCGCAAAAGCCGATGATTCATCAACAGCTCTGACCGTCTCCGCCGTGGCCGGGGAAGAATATCCGATTTCCGCCTCCGACAAGACCCACGATCGAGTGTTCAATCTGTCGTAAAGTGTTCACGACGGGTCAAGCTCTCGGCGGTCACAAACGCTGTCATAGATAGTGTCAGTACGAAGGCGCTAATTGGTTACTATTTTAATGAAGAAGGTTGATGTTTTTTTTTGGTTCAACTAATGAAGGTTTAATATCTTAATTACGAAGTCGACCCCCGCGGATAAGTAAACTGAAAAAAAAGAAATTAACATTGCTAATTCTTTTTTTATATTTTAAGTCATTGTTATGTAAGAGTTTCTATATAGAATCGGTATTTCAAATTTAGTTTCTCTACCAATTTGGTTTTTTTTTTGTTTTTCTTGTATTAGAATAATAATACTGATGATTACATAACTAACCTAATGAAAAACATCAACGAAAGGTTTGTGATCGGTTGGTCTTTACTGCTATAAGATTGAGAAAGATGATATGTGATTCTGGAACTCCCTTGCTTAGAAGCAAAGTTATAGCTTTCACTGCAGAGTATCCTGTTACCACCTTTCCAAGACCAGAAAAATCAAAAATGTTTAATTAGTTTTGATTTGATGAAAAACAGATGATGAGTTTAATTAATTTACTTGGCTCACAAGTATTAGAGAGAAATAAGGTTCCTTGGGCAATATATGTTTTGGGGATCCTCCTCCCTAGAGAATTAGGTCCATATATTACTAGTAACAAGCTCAACACGTACGTTGTTCGTGTAACTGAGACATGATCATATACTGTTACTGGTCAAACAGTGATCTCTAACGCCATTGGATAAATTCTCCATGTCTTGTTCAATCTTATGATAGTCTTAATTAAAAGAAGAAAGATAACGAAAAGGATAGTAAGTATTCAGGACACTGCGTGTAGAGATATTAGCGGGAACAAAAAACACTGTCATCTCCAGTCGAAAGCCGGCGACTCAACGGAAAAAGAGAATTTGGTAAACCAGCCGGTACGATTTGCACAAACCAAAGTTGAACTAGCCGGTAAGAAAGTTGTTTTTTTATAGGATTCGAAAGAAAGACAGAATTAGAGTAACAAGATCCTTAAACATGGGAAAATCAGAGATTTGATATCGATTCATTCATTCCTCCATAGCTTCACCGACTTCTGTAATTTCGACTCGCTCCAGCAATGGGGTGATTTTGGTAAGAAGAACCTCTGTTACACAATAAACCAACAAGATGATAAGTGAGAAATTAAAAGCCTGAGGGTAACGATATGCAAGTTTAATTTGTTTGTTGTGTTGTGCATGTGTTCAAGAGTAACATAATTACCGGTTTTCTTGGTGAAGGAATAGCCTTTGCTGCTGACATAGGTTCTTGGGTTTGGTTCCATGTAATTCCTCAGGTATTCCTTGTTCCCCTGTTTGCCAACACAGTGTCAAACAATAAGCTCGAAAAGAGTTTAAATTTGGAAGTGAAAAACTTGGTCAGCTTGCTGCTGAACATGATTGCATTGCATGCATTAAACCAAATGGAGAGGACATTTTGCATTAATATAATGGCAATGCTGACCAAAGGGAGTTTTGTACATTAATCAAAGGTACTGCATGGTTAAAGAAGCAGGGTGAAGAGACAAACCTTTGTGATCACGCAGATGTCTACGTTGCTACCACTACCCAGGTCATTGAATATACCAGAGCATATGGCTTCAGCGACCAACTTAATTCCTTCATCCCTCTAGAGTATTTTATTTTGTAACAAGAAATTAATCAGACAGAAGAAGATAATGCATCTGGAAACTGAAAGATGAATATTTTCGCTTTACTTACAGTTAGGCCTTCTTTGTACTTCGCCTCAAACACAGACATAGCAGCAAGAGAACCAGAACCCATTGTAGCAAATGGAAGAGTTTCAGTTAAACCGTTTGGGTCAATCTGTGTGTAAGACAAATAGTCAAATGTCATATATATATATATATCATATATATATATATGGATAACAACAAACAAACAAACAAAAAAGAAAAGAAAACTCTTCTCAGTAGATAGCATCTAAAACTTACAGTATGCAGATGTGGGCCAGTGATATCAACTCCACCAAGCACAAGCGCAGCAGAGACATGACCTTGATAGCTGAAATAAAACTTAGGCAGCTAAGCAATCTATGTTTCTCTAAGACGAGTTTCTGTAATAGATAGAACAAAAAAAGTTTACCTGAAAAGATGTTTTTTGAGGAGAGTTAAAGCAGTAATAACCCGAGAGTCACGACCAGTCTCGTAACGATGCAATCGCAGCTGTGAGCTGACCATATCTGGAAAATGAGAATGAAGTTAAAACATACCGATGCATTATGTCAATTAGATTCTGATTTCTTTAACAGGTAGAGAAAACAAAATCTATCAACAAAAGGGTTAGAAAGGAGATACCAGTAACTGCTTCAGTGTCAGCCGCGGTTCCTGCACCACAACAATATATGTTTGGTGCCATATAGTGAATCTTTTCACAGTTTTTATCAGCAACAATGGGCCCCTCGGTCGCTCGGGTATCTGCCCCTAGTATCACACCATCCTATACAAAAACCGAATAACAAAATCAACAACATTGTACAGATTCCACAATCCTTTTACTCAATATATATAGCCAAGAAGAAACTATGGGAGGATGAAAACCATACCTTGAAAATCAAACCGACAATGGTTGTTCCGGTCTTCAAGAAAGACGGAGCTTTAAGACCCTTTTGTGTAAGCATCTCATTTCTCTTACACAAGTCGAAGCTAAACCCACCCTTTGCCGAAACATCTACTGTTGATTGCGACATTTTTTAAATTGAACACCCTACAAGAACAAAAGTGAGAACCCGCAAGAGAGAAAAAAAACAAAACATATGTTGTTTTCATGACGAAATTCATAACAAAACAAATCTACCTCAAGCAAAACAACAACCTTAATTCTACATCTTTACATCCAAAGCTAACGTCTTCCCCTGTTTGTCCCCAAAAAAAAAAAAAAAAAAAAAAGCTAACGTCTTTCCCAAGCTTCCATTACACAACGGAAAGTTCACAACCAGATCTTCTCACTTAGAAGACAGTAACGAAATTCTAAAGCAAACCCAAGAAAAAATTATACTTCAGAACTCAATTGATTCACCTCTTTGTCCCAAGTTTGGTTAGAAGAAACACGATGCACATAGTCACATAAAGACAACGAGAGAGAGAAAGAGAGAAAGAGAGCGCAAGAGAGAGGAATTACAACAAACCTGAAACAAATCCGGCGAGAGATCCGGCAAAGTAGTGAAAAAAAAAACCTAAGTCTCTTAATTCTTTCTTTCGTCGGAGAATGAGAGAGGAGGAGAAGAGAATCAATGTTGTCTGACGAAAAAAAAAAGAACAAAAATCAATGTTGTTTCTTAATATTTATTTGTAGGAAGATCTTTGGGCCAAAAGAAAATGAGGTATTTGGGCCCTTGAGGGGTAAATAAAAGTTATTATTAGTAACGTTAAACAAAAAAAAAAAAAAAAGTTATTATTAGCATTTTTTTTGTAACTTAACTTTCTTCTTACAAACCTCTCCGAAATCAGTCATTACCCAAAGCCATAAAGTTGGTACAAGCACACACATAATCTCACTTTTCATTGTCTCATTCACTCAGTGTCACCCACATACTATACACGCTATAGTTTCTAGTCTCCATTGTTTTTTTTTTTTTTTTTTATGAACCGCTTTAGTCTCCATATAAAGATTTTGTTAGTATAAGTTTATCTCTCAGCATGCAGTACCTATTTCACTTTCGTATGACTTCAGTTCT